AAAGAAAAGTCTTTTAGAATCCATACCTTGTATATTTACTGTAGAAACATGAATGAATAATCAGACAGCCCTATGTGTAGCATGACTTGTGTTTTTTGGTTTGTTTGTGGTTTTTTTCAACTAAACTGATAATCTGACTTGAGATATTTAGAGAAAAGGTCCCATGGATGGAATCACCTTTTCCTTGTTTCTCCTGTGGATCTCAGCAGTGGTTTGGTGAGTCTCTTTGAAGGATTTGGGTAAACAAGCAAAAATAAAACCTAGCGTTCTTGCCAGTTCTTGGCGATTTACATGTATGTGTTGCTGTTAGCCTGAAGTTTCTAAAGTGCTGTACAAATTGTAACAGCATTTGTGAAACAGTCTGCTTTTACATCTGTCAAATAGCATATATTTAGCACTTGCTTTATTAGCCTAGATACAGCATTTTAAAACCTCATCCATTCTTGCAACAAATATCAATTCCATATAACAATTTTACAGTACATTTTACAATCACACATCAAAGTGTGTAATATGAGATATGGATGTAATAGTTAAGGAAGCACACTGAAGTTAACATCTGGGGGGGTTGTTTATTTTTTTTAAAGTATATAGAAATTTAGTTTGTTTTTGATTTCTAGTCAGTATGTCCCTCATTGCAAAGTTCCATCTCTTGTTCCTGCATAAAGAATAGATTTCAGAATGTTCCTACGAAGACTTGGTGTTTCAACCTGGCATTTTAACATGGGATATTGTTACACGTATTTGCAAATTTTCCTCCTTCCGTGCTCAGTCCCATGAGAGTGGTGTTGAACAGATTCATGTTCTGAACCCTGGAGAACCCATGCCAGAAAACCTCTGCTTTTCTGGCATGCTTGTTCATCCCAGGATCCATCAAAAGGTAAAATGCAAACAAAACTAAACATTTCACATGCATTTCCTGCACTCGGCACACAGTATGAAGATGACTGTGGATACAGAGACTTTGCCTCCATTGGAGTTGCTCTTGCAATTCTGTTCCTGTCTGTGTAGTCTATCCTTATTTTGCTCTGTGCTGTGCTGTCCTCTCTGCTCTGTGCGATCATCCGCCTCCAAATGATTTTAAACCATAATTAAGCCTTATTATCTTTCAAGTCAAATCTTCAAAGGGGAAAAGTAGTAAAAGAAGAGCTTATAGTCAAAAGAAGACCTCTAAGAGGCGGAGGGTCATGGGTCCTGCAATACAAAGCCGTATCTACCGTGATCCAATGGTCTGCTCTGCCAGCTTGTGTCTCCAGGTCACGTTTGTATTGGTTTTGGATCAAGTAAGGCAACAATGTGCTGCAAGAGCCTGAAAACCTGAGAGGAGGAGAAGGAGCTGATGACGTTTTTGTATTAATAGTTCTCTTCCCTATTATCACACTTACGAGGCTGTGTTTAAAATCATGCTGAAATGCTGTTTTCATTATCGCATTGAGGAAAAATTCACACTCCTTCTAAATCTGTGCTGTGCTATTCTGATGTATTGGGCCATTTTTAGAAACACGTTTATTGCAAAACATTTCCACTGGGTTTTGAGCTGAGATTCAGGCTTGGGAGTCTGTTTGGAAATTCACTCTCAGTATTTATCTGTGGTTGTGAGAGCATAGGGAGATTTGAGGATAGCAGGGTGGAAAAATCACTTCTAAAAAAATTGTCTGGATTGTGTTACTATATATTTAGGGTTGAGCATTTCATTACTAGTGTAGTAATTGCATAAATGCACAGAAATTTTGGGTTCTATGAATATTTAATTGTTAGCATGCAGCCTTTCCGCGTTGTAGGTAATAACACAGTTATTTTAGCTCGTTTCTACCATTTGCTACTGGCTGAAGTAAAAGCCAAGGGGCTTACAGTGTGTTAGCAGAAAGCAAGACTACTGAAATAGGCAGCAAACTAGTTCCAAGTTAGTGGACCCTCAGTTTCTGCTTCCCTGCCTGTGTCCCTTGTCCTGCACCTGCTACCTCCAGCGCTCCGCTGGAGGGAAGAAGGAGCCACGGAGTTACTCAGAACTTGCAATCAGCAAGGATCTGTACATCCTAGGGCTTAGGGCTTAGGCATGGGATACAGAAGTCCTGTACCACACACTTTTGGAAAGGCTGTTAGTACCAGCTTGCATTTTGCAGGTGGACTGCTCTTCCTTGACTATCTGTGAGATGATCTTCTGGTTCCCACAGTGAGCACTTCAGAGGGAAGAGGGAAATCCCCATTCCTGGCACCCCCACCTTGCAGCCTCATTGTGACCTAGAACTGTGCAGCTAAAATACTGAATAGTGCTGTTGTATTTAGAGATGATTTCTTTTTGGTAGTAGTATTATGGAGGGTTCAGGTGATCTTTTCTATCTAAATGGTAGATATGATTTTCTTGTTCTTTTCAGTAGTTTGTGTTTGTTGTTTTTTTTTTTGTTTTTTTTTTTTTGTTTGTTTGTTTGTTTGTTTTTTTGTTTTTTGTTTTTGTTTTTTTTTCCTATAAAATCTTGGCAAATTATTACTGCTGTTTTTTCTTTTTTTCTTTTTTTATTGTTCTTGTATTTTTCTCTGCGGAATTTTCAAAGGTGTTGTAAGAGAGTTGTGTCTGCTGTGTAGTCCTTTCTCATGGGAACCTATTTTTTTTCAAAGCTGTCTTTGAGCACTTACAATAAGGCAACAAAAAGGTGCTGTTGTAACATGTCTCTTAATAAGCAATATCAGATTTTTCCCCGTGGTAAAAATAGTTGCTGACATAGTCTTTTTATTTGAAAGATTAAAACCCACATGTAAGGACCATACTCTTGTAACAGAAATTTCTACTGATCTATAGATATTTCCACAGTAACCTTTATTAAATGATACTCACCAACAGCAGGATGTATGGAGAGCAATTCCATGGCTAAAGAAGGAACGTGAAGAAAATTACACTAGAAAGAAGGTCTCTCCTGAGATGAAAGAAACCATTTCAGTAGTATTAATAGAATTTTGCAAGTGTAAAATTAGTATCATCCCTTTGCCTTGTAGCTGAGTGGGAGTGTGGTGTATACTTACACATGTTCTTTTTTGGATACCCAAGATATTTGAAAAGGATGCAGGATAAACAAGTATGTATTCTCAAGAAACAGCGATTTACAATAACACCTTTAACTTACGGTTTTGCCATGATGTAGAACATTGTTCACCCATTTTGTCTTTACCTGTTGTCTTGGCTTCTCCATTTCTAAAACAGGTAATTCTCCAGTTGTGTATATGACAGGTGTTTTAACGCTGGCATAATATGAAGACTCTTTTTGGTGTTGGGTACTGTGAGTATATTTTTCTTTTAGAAAATGTCTTTTAGGCTTTTCAGGTTTGCTTTAGAGAGTCTACAGTAGTTGGATTTAAAGTTCATACAGGTTTTTATTTTTTTTTCAAGGGTCCTAAAGAGGGTTGGTTTAGATCCTGTATAATCTCTGAAGAAATTCAAGTTGACTTTGTCATTCCTCTGCTCCAAGTTAGCTTTTGGGGCTGGAAACCATAATAAACTATAGACACATAGCAAATTATTCCACATGAACTTGTGAGTATAGGTAATGAATTTCCTGGTTCTCCTTTAAAAGTAGCAAATGCAGAAAGATTTTGACAAGACATTAGAAGCACGATGGGTTTTTGTGATTGATTGCTTAATACTGAGAAATTTTTTATTCTCAATTCTGATGTGAATTTGTGTATAATTGTGTATGAAGCAAAAGTCTGGCCTTTGTTATTGCACTGACACATATCTTTGCAAAATCAAAACTGCACTTCATGCAAAAGTGGAGAAGTGTTAACTGGAAGAATATGTAACATCACAGGAAAATGTATTGCTGTCAGTTACCCTGGAAAAGTAACTTTTACATGGTAGAAGTGTATTTATGTGAATGGAGTTATTGGGAAGCAGAAAAATAGAGCATTGTAACCCATACTACTTTGGAAGAAACCACAGTATCTTAAAATCACCGATGCACAGATAGTGTGAAGCTAGAAATATTAATCATTTTCTTATTGATTTCAGGTGTAAAGCTTGCTTTCAGCTGACCTCAGTCAGAAGGTGGCTGGACTTTGCCTCCATGAAATGTTCTGTACCAGAGGTTTCTTTACACCTTATCAAATGATGTTCTAGATTTGGGCATTAGGCATCTGTCTAGCCTTACTTCTGAACACAGATAAACTATGTTACACCTCTGCAGGAAATTGAGCCAGCAATATTGTGTTCATTGCACTAAGAGTATCCTAGAGTGCTCATAGATATTTTGTTTATCCGTATTTCAAGGTATCTCTTGATACTGTTTGTATATAAAGGGTGAATGATATTTTTAAACTAAATTTAATGCCTAAACTTTATTTATAGCACACTGTAACCGTCTTCTGGAATTGGGTAGGGCTTTTTAGTTTTGTTTATTTGTTTTTTTGTTCTGCACTTTATAAGCCATGTTTTCATTAATCTTTACTTATAGATAGCTTCAGGCTTGGTGCATTTTCTAAATAAATTTGTTGTTGGAGTTTGTTTGTTGTTGGTTTTTGATTTTATTCTTACTGTATGAATCTTACTGAACACTTAAACAGTACTATAAAACTGCAGTAAATTATGGCTTTAGAAAAAGTTATTTGAAGAAATTTTCTATGTCTGGCTTTGAAATTCCTCCAATTTTCTTACCCTTATTCCATCCCCCAGACAGTGGTGCAAAGCTATTTAGAAAGTGGTGCATGTATTAGAAGTATCTTTAGCAACAGAAAAAATCATGTTTAGGATAAGAATTTCAGAAAAAATAGTGGATCTCTTCTGAAAGAATATAGAAGTGGTATGTGGAGAGACAAACATCCCTTTTTCTCTTTCATTAAAAGGAAAACTTAAATAGAGGATTGGTTTAACAGAAGAAAATAGCATAGTTGAACTGTGAACAATTTCACAGAAGCTGTCTCAGTCCATCCTGTGTGATGCATGTTCCACAAACCTGTCAGTCTAGTTTTTTTCTTTAGAGAAGCAAAAATCCTTTGTAATTTTTTTTCCTTAGGCTACATGACATCCTTCGTTGTCAAAAGGCTGATTCTTTGCTGTACTATGACATCCCTATGTTTAGCATACTAGTGAGAGACAGTCCTGAATTCTTGTAGACCAAGTTATGGGAAGTCAGGTAAGTGGCATTTTTCTTTATTATATTGCCCAGCTTTTCAGTTACACACAGTCAGTACACAGATACGTTGTAAAATTTATGTGGTAAAAATGTGCAATATAATAATATTAAAAAGCCACTTACCCTTCTTACCGTTTGTGCAGCCAATTCCATGGCACAGTATTTGTTGTATGGTGGGTATCAAGTCCCCTTGTAGAATGCATACTGAGGCATGAATGTACCTAGCTAAGAATTAGGTCTTTCTTATAAAACGTATCTTATACACAAAAGGACAAACACAAAGGGCAGCTATTAATCAGTGTGAACAAAGTGAGATCCAGTGATAGTTCTCTTTTGTATTGCTGGTTTTTCTTTTTCCAGTATTGCTAGTTTTTTGTAAGGCTGAAGGCCAGGGAGACTCAGAATTGCAAAGATTTCAAGCCTATCCCGAGTTGTTATTGCCAATACTATTTTTACTACTGTATTAACGAGCATCAGCAGTGACTTCATCTAGTTTACAGGACTAAAACCTACTCTTAATGGTAGTGTGCTAGTACTTTGATTTTGGTTTTGTTCTTTTACTGATGGACTCTGTCCTCTTGCACAGGAGGAGGTTATAAAGAGACTTTAAAACAACTACAGCAATGAACTAAGGATAACATTCTTGAATAGATGCACAAAAAGCTAGGGAACTTGAGCAGGAGTAACCTGGCATATTTTTCAAGTTACAGAAACAGGTTCTAAATGCCAATACTGTTTAGAGAGCACAATCTTTGTACATGTATGTAAAGTATGCCGGGGGAAAAGCAGTGCTTAATTTGATTATGGTATATACTTGTAATGCATGTAATTTCCATTGTTCATTCCTAACTACAACTACTATCTGTATCTGATACTAATCTGTATCATGCTACAGATTATTTTTGGTGTAGAAAGTAACATTTAAGTAGTAGTTAGCAGAGATTTCTATCCAGTTTAAATTTCAGGTTTTAAGCATATGTGTTTTAGTCTAATTTCTTGAGATCAAAATACTTAAAATATTTATTTTTTAATCAGAAGGATATTTTTCTTTGTGTCTTGCTTTACTGTATTCCCTATTGGATCTAGGAAGGATCTTGCACATAGTTACTGGGAGAAAATACTGCTTTGGGATAGATAAATGCTGGAAAATTTCAATCAACATGTAAATAGTGAATGGGAATGGTGAAATCTTCTAAGTTCTACAGGATGAGAACAGGAGTCTGACTAAAACAACTCATCAGTTTAGCTATCATACAATCCAGTACTTAACCATAAAAAGTCAAAGGTAAAGTGGGCATGAAACAGTAGTGGATCCATCAGATTACAGCTAAAGCCAAAGTTATAATTCATAACTTGTTTACACAAAATTGTGCTTGTTTTTGTTTTTGTTTTTGTTTTTTTTTTCCAATGGAAGTATAAGTTGAGACATACTTTTGAACTTCAGTTTGTGGAAAGCTGTGTATGTTTCATCCCAGTCACAGGGACAGCTTTGACAAGGCAAGAAAATAGTTTTAATATCATTTCCAAAGCCACCCTTGCCTGTCATAATGAGAAAGATGCCTGTTTGGTGACTGCTTTTTCCCAGCCAAAGCCAGCTGCCTCCAGCTAGACCTTTCTTTGGGAAGATCAATCATGAAATTGTATATATCTCTCTAGGGAAATTCGCTGTGTGTGAGTACAAAGCAGAAACACCAGTGGAAATTCCCTGTTTCAAATTTTTCAGTGACTGAAAGATTTCTCAGTGGTCCTAGAAAGCTCTGATAATCGTGTACAAAGAATATTCTTTATAACTTAAATAAACAGAAAAGCATTTTAAATAATTATTAGGTATAAAAACAAATTTCTTCTTTCATATCTAGGATTGGACCTCCAGACTAAGTTTATAGTAAGTATGTTGTTCTGAGAATGTCGTAATTTATGATACAGCCAGAGGTGTAATTGTACTGTGAATAAAGAGAGGATTTCAGCTTCCAGGAATCTGAGGTATTTTTCATGAATATTAAGTAAACTTTAATGACTGAGGGAAAGAACAAACTGAAGGACAGTCATTTATATCCTGTCTAAACTGGCCTACAGCCACATTAATGTTTGTAACAGATTTAGAGTATAGCTGAAGTAACAGTAAGGTTTTCCTCTTCTTTCTCTATACACTTTTCCATACCATTTTTAGACAAATACATGTAACTGAAAGGGTGAAGAATAGTTGCTTACTTACTAAAATTTACAGGAGATGTTAAAGAGAAGTGGAATGTAATTGTAATCAGTGCTGTTTGAGTGGTGATAGATTGCAACTGAATGGTTTGAGGCTATTAATTGCAATGAGATTATACTAGTTCAGCTACCTCTGATGTCAGATACTTGAAATATTAGTTATTTCAAAGACAAATTGGATTATAAATTATTAGTAAATCTGTACCAAGGTGATTAAACCCACTTGTAAACTGTCAAACATGGGTGCTATTTCACGTTGTTGGTCAGTTGTACATTGGAAGTCAGGAATTAAATTTAGGGCTTATATGGGGACATGTGAATTAAATGTGTTACTTCTGAAGCTGAGCATTTCCTGGGCTTTCTACCCTCTCAATGACATTTGTTTGTTTAGCTTTACAGTTTTTTTAGTCCGCCACTAGCCTTTTCATCTGACTCTGTAGAAGATCGTCTAGAGAGGAAGCTGCTTCTCCGAGACAGATTTAAAACTCTTGACCACTTGGGGGAGGTAAAAAACAGCAGATCTGTGCAGCCCTCAAACAGGTCACGAATACAGTAATGGCATCCCAGAATTTCCACTCTGAGGGTCTACCATTGCTTGAAAGTGCTGTTGTCACTATAACAATATTTTTTCCTGGTATGAAGGATGAAGTATATTACCCTGCAAGGGGCTTCTTGGGCATACCATTATGTGTCATTCTTCTCATCAGTCAGATGTTTTTTGGAGCAGACTACAGAATTGCTTAATAGTTTAGTATTGCGTTTTAAGGAACAAGGAGTAGAAACAATGGAAGCTGAGGAAAAGCAAAGTAGTTTAAAAGACCTATTAACTTATTTGTGCAGCTACTGAATTTTGCCGTGTGTTCATACTCTCACATGCACACAAAAACAATTCCAATCCACTGCACAAAATAACTAAACAAAGCTCTAAGGTCTAAAAATATGTACATCCAGAGCAGCATAAGAAAGAAAAGCAAGCAGACATCTTTTTGGATTTATTTCCTCTTGTCAGTGTTCTTTCACTCCAAGCTTGAAGCTTTCTCACTGATATATTCTCTGATGTATGGGTATTTGCAAGCGTTAGTAGAATTATAGGCATTTTAGACAACTATTTTTTACTCCTCGGTTTTTACATAAAACGTTTGTTACAGTCACTACAAAACCTGGCATTCTAGATATTCTGTTGTATGTGCTATTAAAAGCACAATCATCCATGGGAAATAGGCCACAGCAACATCCTGTTGGTAACTGTGACAATAAACAGATGTGGTTGATATAAAGCAAAATTTTTATGTCTCTGCAGTTCCTCTTAAGTGCCCTGGTCTTGAGCTGCAGTTTGGGGGGCAGGAGGGCTCCTGTATTCATTCGTTTTCTATTCCTTTTCAGCTATTTCTTGGAGTCGAGAAGTAATTCTGCACTCCGTGCTTCCACTACATATCTGACATTATATCTCTGCTCCAAATACTGCTACCTTGCAGAGGTACCTACTGCAGACTCATTCTTGGACGTGTTCATGTTGGTTACAAAGATGGTAGGGCTGGTGTTTCTTAAGTGACCTTGTATTCTCCTGTGCTATTGTGACTCTTGGTGTGGTGAGACTGATCCCAAGAACATGTTTTCTTTTCTGGACTTTGAGAATTCACGGCCCTGCAAGTTGCCTTCTGAGGCTTGTAAGCCTTGAGGCAAGTTGAGATCTTATCCAAGCCAAGTCCGTTCTAAGAAGGAAACTCAAGGCCTTGGCTGTATTCCAGGTCACTTCTGCTTTTATGGGTAGGACCACAAACACTGCTAGGTCTGATTCCTTCCTTTCATCTGTTAGCAATGTTCTCCTGCTCTGTTCTTGCCAGCTGGTGCTGAGTGCCTCCGTAGGAGATACAGCACTTCAAGCTTCTGTCAGCCATTCCTCTTGGACTTAGCACTGGTGCAACGGGTTGCACCATCAGTGCATAAATTCTTAGTCTACCCTATTATAGCTGCAGTGTCTTGCTCCAGTTTTTTATTTCACAGGTCACTTCTCTGCCAACAGCTCAAAACATGATCCTCTTCCAGAAGTCCCTCCCTGGTGTTACAGCTTGTGGCCTGATGACTTCTTCCCCTGCACGCTAAGGTACCAGCATGAGTCTTTCTTCTGCTTCTTGTAAGAGACAAGATCAGCTGGCTGCTTGCTGGGAATAGCTGAAGCATCCACAGGACGTGTTGGTTCAATGTTCAGAGACCACAGGAATCAAACCTCCACAGCATCAGGAGGCTGTCTGTGGACAGTGCCACACTTAGCAAACTTGTTCTACAGATGCTGTTCAAGATCCCTCTTCTATATAAGCTAATTCCTCAGGCTACTATGCAAACACATGTAGGACAAGTTCTTGAAAAGAAAAACATTGTTTTAACAGTGTTTGATAGGGTTGTAGCCCACCCTCATTCCTCTGTTCCTGTAGGAGGCATTTCAGTCATGTTGTGAAACCGGTCTTCTCTTCAAAGGACAAAAAAAATCTGGTTATTTCAGGTAGTCATCTCAACTAAGAAAATAAATGTTAGTGCTATGAAATGTTGTTACTGATGCATGTTTTTAAAAACACGGAAATTATTTATAGGTAGATGGAACTTGGAATCATTTTGCATCTCTTTAAGTTTATCCAAAAAGCCAAGTGTCACGCATTTTGCATAATGAGTGAATAATTCTTTCAGATGTTTTGAGAGGTGACTTGTTTTACAGTCTTACTGGAATTATTAGTGGAATTAATAACTGTGCACATATGATTTGTTCTGAGAATAGGTTTTGGTTTGTTTTTAGA